AGGGCGGCAGGGCCGCTGGGAGGGCGGCGGGGCCGCGAGGTAGATGGCGGGGCCGCAGCGGGAGGGGCGGCGGGGCCGAAGCGAGGGGCGGCGGGGCCGCAAGGTAGGCGGCGGGGCCGCAGCGAGAGGGGCGGCGGGGCCGCAGCGAGAGGGGCGGCGGGGCCGCAGCGAGAGGGGCGGCGGGGCCGCAGCAAAGGGCGGCGGGGCCGCAAGGTAGGCGGCGGGGTCGCAGCGAGAGAGGCGGCGGGGCCGCAGAGAAGGGCGGCGGGGCCGTAGAGAAGGGCGGCGGGGCCGCAGCGAAGGGCGGCGGGGCCGCAGCGAAGGGCAGCGGGGCCGCAGCGAAGGGCAGCAGGGCCGCAGCGAAGGGCGGCGGGGCCGCAGCGAAGGGCGGCGGGGCCGCAGTGAGGGGCGGCGAGGCCGCAGTGAAGGGCGGCGGGGGGGCTGCAGCGAAGGGCGGCGGGGCCGGGACAGGGCGGCGCCTGGGCCGTAGGGCTAGGCGACGGGGCCGTTAGGGCGATGGGGCCGCCAGGGCGACGGGGCCGCTAGGGCGACGGGGCCGCTAGGGCGGCGCGACGCAGTCGCTAGGGCGGCTCGACGAGATGAGAGAGAGGAGCGCGACTCGGGCTGAGCGCGCTCCGGGCAGAAAAAAAGTTTCGACTTGGTGGGCCCTAGGCACAGTTCCCACTAGGGAACCTGCTCTGATACCATGAGAAAACTGAAACGAGAATGATTGAACTATGAATGAACTGAGTACAAGTACTAACCCTAATTGGGTTGTACCCCTTATGGGCTACCCCACTATAGCCTACACAATAAGTACAAGCTATATGTTCTGACACGCACGGCTCCAACGGAGAACCTTATCAAGTCTGTCAAGTGTTGAAGTCGCTCTACGGCATCAAACAAGCTCCAAGGCTGTTGCAACAGTACCTGCACGCAAGACTTATCCGCATAGGATTTCGCCAGCTACCTCACGACCAGGGAATGTACCGGCTGACAAAAGGCACCGACTACATCCTACTAATCGTCTACGTAGACGATCTGCTCTACATCGGGTCGACCGACGGCGTCACTACTTGGTTCGAAGGGGAGCTGCAGATAGACCTGACGCTCACAGTCTCGTCCACCGTCACACAATACCTCGGCCTCAACATTCAGGAAGAATAAAACGCAATCTACCTCAGCGCCGCAAAATACGCCGACACCATCGCCAAAAGCTTCGCACGCACGCCGACCGCCATCTCCACGCCATAGCGCTACACGGCAGGAAACCACAAGGAAGGCTCCGCTCTACTCAAGCCCGCCGGCATACGCGACTACCGGAGGAAGCTGGGATGCCTCCTCTTCGCAGCGATCACCTGCCGCCCGGACCTATCGTACTCTACAAGCCAGTGTCAGAATCCCAACCACTAGACCATTGGGATAAAATGGCTTGTTAAGTAGCGGGTCAGTGCACCCATAACCCCCTAGGCAAACGCGACTGTAACCCTCTCCAGGATCAATCGGGCATCCACAGTGCAGATCAACTGACATCCCCCCACACTGGGAGGCCCAGGACTAAGCACAGCGGCACCGGCCTACATGTGCATACACCGGGAATCGAACCCGAGACCGCTCTGATACCATGTCAGAATCCCAACCACTAGACCATTTGGGATAAAAAGGCTTGTTAAGTAGCGGGTCAGTGCACCCATAACCCCCCAGGCAAACGCGCCTGTAACCCTCTCCAGGATCAATCGGGCATCCACAGTGCAGATCAACTGACAGCCAGCTCGCCACCTACCTCAAGAAACCTGAAGCGGAACATCTGGCGGAGCTCGACCGCGCTTTTCACTACCTCGTTAGCACCCCAACAATCAGCCTGACCTACCATAAAAACACGACTACAGCCCCTAAACTAATCGGCTACGTCGACGCCGATCACGCCGGTGACTCCGACAACAGACGTATGCGCACCGGCTACATCTATCGCCTCGAGCCTATCGGACCTATCTCTTGGCAGTCGAGCAAGCAGAAATTAATCGCCCTCTCTTCAGCTGAAGCAGAATATATCGCACTCTGCTCAGCCACCAAGGAAGGACTGTACCTTCGCGAACTCCTGGAGGAAGCCAAGCTAGCCCAGTTACCAAACTTTACTTTGTTCTGCGACAACCAGTCGGCCATTCGCATAGCCAACAAGAGCGGCTCCGCGAACAGGACGAAACACATCGCCCTGCGATACTTCTTCGTGAAGGACGAGATCGAGAAAGGAAGACTCGAACTGTCATACTGCCCCACATCCGAGATGGCAGCTGATTACTTGACCAAGAAGCTCGGAAAGCAGAAGTTCGAGTACTGCATGCTGCTGACTGGACAGAGCCACGTCACCAACTGCGACACTCCAGAAGCGAAGGGGAGTGTTGGAAACAATTAACTCTAAGCGCCTCTGTCGTGTCGAAACACCAAGTCAGAAGCGAAGCGAAGTACTGTATATTGAAGCACCGGCGAGTCAACTCTCGGAGGTTGAGCTGTTGCTAGAGGTTACGCGAAAGTCAAAGGTCAGCGACCTTTGACCTGGCAAGTACAACGCGACAGCAAGGACACACAACTGACTCGTTACAGAGCAGTTGCCCGAGTCGTCACTGTATCGAGCCGCAACAGCAACATCCTAAGTAGTTGCAACCGTATCTCTTCGTATTCCTCGTACTCTTATATAATCTTGTATCGCCTTGCTTTAATCAATTTTTACTTTGCCCTCACATACCAGCGCAAGGTGATTCAACTACTCCATTAAACGCTTCCGCTATTACAACAAGTCCTACCCAGAGTTCAGCCCTGCAAAGATCCTAAGGGCCTTTTCTCAGCCCAACATAATCATCATTCATTCATAACACTACCTACCAGTATTCGCGCATTGGCTTGTTGCTTCATGGAGAACCTCCGTCAGTCTTATATACCCACACCTTCACTGACACTTACCGGTACCATATACTTGCGCCATTGGTTGGTTGGTTGCCCCATCTTGCAGCTCTTAGGTCCCTCATCTCTCCATCCTGTTAGCCCCTCTGCAACATTTTGTTGTCAGCTCGGCGCAGATTTTGCTCGTGTACCAGTCACAGCTTCTACATGTTAGCAAGCAGCATGAAGGACGCTCTCCCCTTACACCCACATATATGTGTCAAATTACAATCACTTGTCACAAATTGCCTCTGACGCTGGGCATGCTAAGAGATTAGGAGGCAAGAAGACGAACGTAACCCCATGAGCTATCAGCCTGTCCGTCGACGCTGCTGCAGGGATATTTAGTGGTGACGGGATCTTCATGGGAGGGTAAGTCTGGAAATAACACTCTTGATCCTTCTTCACTTTGGTCACTAGCCTTCCACCATCTCTGGTTGTAAAATTCGTCCCGGGCTGCGCGTTTAGCAGGTCAGCCAGCGTCCAACGGCCTGCGAGTATATGGTGGCGGAAAATGCGCTTCTGCTGATCCTCTGTGAAATCGTCCCACTTGATTTGTTCGAATCCGATGTTGGACGGCACGAGGAGGGTGGATGGCTCAGAAAGGAGATCCTCATCGGATTGAACTGCGAGAGCATCAGAACGAGGGAAAAACGAGTTAGGAGCGTGATGTGGAGAGGAGGTAGCATGAACTTGAAAAGCAACGCGGGTGGAGAGTGTCAGAACGTATGACCCATGCAACGTACGAAATTCGGCGAAGATCCGCGAGAAGGTAGAGAGGAAGGGGTGTTTAATCTGTTTCACCAATGCAGTCGCCTCCGTCGCGTCAGCGGATGCGCGGGAAAGGCCGCAAATAATAATGACGGCGCACAGGGAAAGCATTCCCCAGGACACATTCGTCCGTGCCATGCGTGGAGCTTTAGGGATTTCTCGACTTTGAAGAGCGTACCACGTACGATTGTGCAACACGTCTACGCGTGTGCAATAGTGGCAATCTTAAAGGCTAAAGACAATACTACATATAACTGGCAAGACGGAAGACAGCCAAGAACAACTCTAATCAACGACTGCCTACCGCACACTACTACGAGGTAGCTGGTAGACAAAAGGATAGAGTGAGGAGCTGGATTCTGGCTCACAAAATTACTTGGCGAGAGCGTTGGTGAAGAAACCGCATGTGGTGGCGGTCCTTAGGCTTGAGTTGAGAAAGGCGCTCATGTGTTCAAAAGGACCCTTGTGGAGTTGTGGGCATGCATGAAGTGATTTCTCGAGGGGCTTACTGGGAAAACTGTGATGGGTATAGTACGGTGCAATACTGATAAAAACGTTTATAGAGATCTACACTTCGGTGACTCACGTCAAGCCGTTCGAGGTCAAACCTATTTATTGTTTTGCTTTCTCCACTACCGAAGGTCATCGCACGAACCTGGAGACATGTTTTTGTGTAGTGTTCCATATCAGGAGCAGTGCCCTCAAATAAAGAATGTTTACCGGTTTATTTCATCGTAACCTCCTTGCTATGAAGGTACTCGGTTGAGAAAACATTGTATTAACAGGACGCGTATCTGGTTTCTGTAAAGAAGCGTATCTGATTGCTTGTGTAAATTTTGAAAAAAATGCTGCTCTTTAGAGTATATTGGAAGGTGGTGAAGGAGAATTTGGGACCCACAGTGAATAGCAGATCTGCCCGGAAACCCACATCTGCAGCACACTTCCATCATCCCTTGCAACCCGCAGATCGATGGGTCACTCATGAAATTTTGAGAAGGGGTCGTCTGGAGATCTCGAGGTGATTGCAGCTCTCTAGGGTTTTCCGCAAAACCATCTCTAGGGTTCTCTAGGGTCTGCATTTAGAGTCGCTTGTCTCGAAAGTCTCTATACGTCCTTAGCCGATCGCGAATAACGACCTTGTACACTGGTGGATGACGATGTGATTGTTGTACAATACGCGCTGTACGGAAATTATAGCATCAAGAGCGATTTCACGAGCACCATGCGGTTAACGTTCTGAGCTCTCAACAGGCGAACTTATTGATTGATTTCTATTCACAAATTCAAGAATCATGGGTCGGAAACGGCCATCGAAGGCCGGATCTGGCTCGTCTCAAGGATCCGACTCCACATCCGGCGATGCTGCCGCATCAGGCGGAAGTTCGCGTGGTGCTATGGTGGTCTCTGGTAGCTCTAGCAGCAGGCGAGGCGCAGGCGACAGAGGGGTTTCATCACAACAGGAAGAAGGATCCAAGGGAACGGGTCCTGGTTACCTTGAACCCTCAGATCCGCGATTCGCGGAAGTGAAATCGGAATGCGAAAAGGCAGTGAAGGCGCTTCGGCGTGGCAACGCTCCGAAAGCGGTGAAGCTTATAAAGGAAGCCACAGGAAAATTCTCGTCCGTTCCGCTCTGCCACCGCGTGAACGGACACATCCACCTGAAACTCGCGAACATGATCGAGGATGCTTCCACGAAGCAGCGGCATCTACGCACCGCGTTAGAATCCGCGCTTAAAGCCACGGAACTCTCCCCGAACTCCGTCGAATACTCCCACTTCTACGCGCAGCTTCTCTTCGAAGCGGCCGACGGGCGTGACTATAGCGAGGTGCTGCGCGAGTGCGAGCGCGGGCTGGGGATCGAATCGCCGGTGGATCCGGCGAAAGAGAGTCTGCAGGAGGAGAGTCAGCAGGAGCTGGCGACGCCGGCGGAGCGCGTGACGCACGTGCAGAACGAGCTGCGCGGGCTGCAGCAGAAGGCCAACATCGCGTCGTTCTCCACCATCTGGCGCAGCTTCGGCAACGGCGCGGACGAGCGGTTCAAATTTTTGCAGGTATGGGAGTGACTGTGTATGATGAGGCGCCTAAAAAAGCAGAAGGTCAGATGGTGAAAGTTCTTACGCGAATTTGTTAGACATTTTCTCCCCAGGTATTTTCAGGTGGTTAAAGTTTGAAGGTACTTGATTAGTGGAAAAGTTATTGCAGGTATTTGATTGGCGGTGGGAAGGTTTGGCAGGAATTTTGACTCGTGGTTCAGCATTTTCTAAGAATTCCCGAAGTGGTTGTTGTGTTGAAGGAACTTAGTAAATAAGCAGCAGCTTTGAGGAAGTGACTGGTGATGTTTTCCTTTCTGATCCAATCGAAACTGGTCGTGTTTGAGAATACCCTATTCCCACTCTCCCTCCATCCCCATCCCTTAACCCCTTCCTAGTTCCAGTTACTTTTGAAAGTTATAGAGAAAGAGCAGATGAAGTAGATCTCGAATTGACCTCGCTTTTTTATTGAGACGACCCGATTGAGCGTCGCTCGTAATCCCTCCTTCCAACTTTCCCCTTTCAAACCTCCGACCTCCCCCCTTTCAAGCCTCCGGCCTCCACTTTTCCCACTCCCCCTCCCCCTTCCCCGCTCCCCTCCCTCTTTCCCCCTGCTCTCTCAAAAGCAGGTGAAGAAGATCGCAGACGACCCCATCGAGCTGCGCAATCAACTCCCCCCTTCCCGCCTTCAAGCCGTCGCCCTCCCCCTCCCCCCCCCCCCTTTGCTCCTTCAAAAGCAGGTGAAGAAGATCTCAGAGGACCTTATTGAGCCGCCCTCGTATTTCCTCCTTCCCCGTTTCAAGCCCTCGGGCCTCCCCTCTTTGCCCATCCCCACCCTCCCCTCCCTCTCCGCTCAAAAGCAGGTGAAGAAGATCTCAGACGACCCTATCGAGCCGCGCTCGTCTTTTCCCCTCCCTCCTTCCGTCTTCCTCAGACGTTCCTCGTCCCGCCTCCCCCACCCCCCCTGCCCCTCTTCCCCGGCCCTCGCTCAAAAGCAGGTGAAGAAGATCTCAGACGACCCCATTGAGCCGCGCTCGTCGCTGCCGCCGCGGCGCATCCACGAGGTGAAGCGCGTGGTGCGCACGCTCGAGGAGCGCCGCCAGGAGATCGAGGTGCGCGTCACGGCCGCACGCCTGCTGCAGCAACAGCAGCAGCAGCAGCAGCTGCAGCAGCAGGGGCAGGGGCAAGGCGCAGCAGCAGACGCAGGCGGAATTTCCGGTTCCGCGCCCGCCTCGGATGCTGCTCCTGGTTCCGCGTCCGCCCGCGGGGAGCGGAAAGCGGACGCGGAGGAGGACGGCGCAGGGGGGAAGGATGGGGCGGGGGGGAAGAGGCGGGGGGGCCTGGACGGGGCGAAGAGGCGGAGGGAGGTGCTGGCGGGGAGGCGCGGGGCCAGGGCGCAATCCGCAATAGAGGAGAAGGTGGAGAAGGTTAGACCGTTCTGGAAGGCGCTGGGGCAGGAGGAGAAGGATAAGATTCTGGATATTCCCATTGCTGACGTGTGCGATGGCCTTGCCAAGTCAGCACGCGGCGGGAAGGGGGCGGGGGTGGGGAGCGCGGGCGGAGGGGGAGGCACAGGAGGGGGAGGTGGAGGGGGAGGGGAAGGGGGAGGCGGAGGCGGAGGAGGAAGAGGGGGAGGGCATGTATCTGCGATCAGCTGCGGTGGTGGTACCGTTGGCTTGGGGGGGGAATCTGCGGCGTCAGCTGCGGCAGCAGCAGCTGCAGCAGAGGAGCTTATGTCAGAAGCGCTGAGTTTTGCCAAGGAGAGAAAACACTGGCAGTTCTGGGCGTGCTGTCTGTGCGACGAGAGGTTTATAGATGCGGAGTCGTTTCAGGCGCACATGCAGGAGGAGCACATAGGAAAGCTGAGCGCGGAGCAGGAGAGAATGATTCCCGAGGAGGAGGCGCTTTCTTGGGAGGAGATTTTTACGAGGTTGGATGTTACGCCTGTGGATGGGATTGAGGCGGTGAGGAGGCTTGTAGAGGGGATGAGTGGGGCGGGTGGTGGGGTGGGTGGGGAGGGGGGTGGGAAGGGTGTGGAGGAGAGAGAGGGGAAGAGGAAGGGGAGTGAGGAGGGTGGTGATGGCGAGAAGGAGGAAGAGGAGAAGGAGGGGAAGGAGGAGAAAGAGGAAGAGAAGGATGAAGCGTGTGCGATGGAGCTGGATGGGGAGGGAACAGAGGAGGGAGAAGCGGAGGGAGCAAAGGAAGGAGCAGAGAAGGGAGCGGAGGAGGGAGCCAAGAATGGAACGGAGGAGGGAGGTGAGAAGGGAGAAGGGGAGGGAGCAGAGGAGGGAGATGTGAATATCGAGAAGGGAGTGGCCGCTGCTCTAGGCGAGACCAAAGGCGGGAGTGAGAAGGGGAAGAAGGGGGGCAGTTTGGGGGATTCGGGATTCGGAAAGGATTCAGGTGAGGAGGAGAGAGAGATGGAGGGTGAGGAGGAAAGTAAGGAGGTGAAAGTGGGTAGTGGCAGGGATGGGAAAGAGGGGGGTGCGGGAGAGGATGAGGAGGACGAAGAAGAAGATGAGGAGGAGGACGAGGAGGAGGAGGAGGAAGAAGAGGTAGGTGAAAGCAAGTTGGGAACAGAGGAAGGTGGTGGTGTAGGGGAGAAGGGCTGTGTCACTGAAAAGGAAGCAGCAGCTGCGGCGGCAGCGGCGGCGGCTGCGGCAGAGGCAGCGGCAGCAGCAGCGGCAGCAGCGGCAGAGGGTTGCAGGCATTGTGGGGAGTCGCTGCAGTGCCGGCGGCATGCGAGAGCTCTGCCAGTAGTGCAGGACAGGGAGAGGCAGCGGGAGCTGATGCGGCTTAAGCATATAGTGGAGCGCATGCTTAAAGCGGGGATACTGACGCGCGACCACATGGCACGTATGGTGCAGTATACCATGGTTCAGGTGCAAGCCATGGCGGAGAGAGCTTTAGAGGCGCCTGCCGTGCCTCAAAAGTCGTTGCAGGTGCAAGGCATGGCAGAGAGAGTGCAGAAGGGTTTGGATGAGAGCGGGGGGAGTAGTGCAGGTGAAATGGAAGAGAAGAGTGGGGAGGAGAAGGGTGGGGAGGAGAAGGGAAAGAAGGGTGGAGAAGAGAAGGGAGGGAAGGGTGGAGAGGAGAAAGGAGAGAAGGGTGGAGAGGAGGCGGGTGCAGCTGTTGCGGCTGTTTGGAATGGTGCGAGCAGTGGTTGTGATGGCGATGCTGCTTCTGGAGTTGTGCTTTCTGCGTCTGATGCTGCGGCTGCTGATGCTGCTGTTGCGTCTGGTGCTGCTGCTGTGTCTGATGCTGCTGCTGATGCTGCTGCTGCGTCTGGTGCTGCTGCTGCTGCCGCAGTTGATGCTACTGCAGCTGTTGGTGCTGCTTCCTCGCTCACCACTGCTTCTGCGGAAGTTCCTGCTGCTGCTGCCACTGTTCTTGACACTGTTGGTGAAGCTGTTGCTGACGCTGTTGCTGCTGCTCTTGCTGCTGTTGCCGCCTCACGCACCACTGCTTCTTCTTCTTCTGCTGCCGTTGTTGCTGACGCTGTTGCTGACGCTTCTGCTGCTGCTGCTGCCGTTGTTGCTGCCTCACTTACCACCGCTTCTCCGGAAGCTTCTTCTGCTGCTGCTGCCGCTGTTGCTGCCGCTGTTGCTCACGTTGTTGCTGAGGCTGTTGCTGCCGCTGTTGATCATACTGCAGCTGATGCTGCTGCTTCCTCGCTCACCACTGCTTCTGCGGAAGCTTCTTCTTCTGCTGCTGCCGCTGCTGCTGACGCTCTTGCTGCCGTTGTTGCTGACGCTGCTGTTGCTGCTCGTGCTGACGCTGCTGCTGCTGCATCTGATGCTGCTGCTGCCTCGCTCTCCATTTCTTCTGCTGCTGGGCCCACAGGGGCTGCAGGGGAGGAGGCAGAAAGGGAGGGGGAGGTTGAAAAGGAACGCCTGAGGAAGGCAGTATGTGGAGGTGATTCCACAGAAAAGAGGCCACGTGAAGATTCAGATGAAGGTTCATGTGAAGATTCACTTAAGACGTTAGATAAGGACACGCTGTTCAAGGAACGGAAGGAAGAGGACGCATCCAAGGAATGTTCCTTAGGTACGACTGAGGAGGAAGAGGGGAGGTCTAAGCCGTCTCTCGCTCGCGCCCCGGTCACTTTCACCCCGTCGCCAGTCTTTGTTCGTTTCCTGCCAGCGCGCGATATACAGGAGCTGCAGGCGTACCTGCTAGAAGCGGAACAGGGGGCGTACTATAACGAGAACAAGGAGGCAGTGCTGCCTGACAGGCTCCTGTTAGACGAGGAGTTCACGAGGATCATTCTGGACGAGCGTGTGTTGAAGGATGTGGCTGAGGAGCCTAAGCTGCCGTTTAGGGATGCTGTGGGGGGGAGGGTGGAGGCAGGAGGGGGGGATGGAGGGAAGGAGGAGGCGGGAGAGGGAGGAGGGAGAGAGGAGGCAGGAGACGGAGGAGGAAAAAGGGGTGCTGCTGACGGTGGTGATGCTGGGGATGCTGATGGTGGTGGTAGGGGTAAACAGGGGGGAGAGCAGGAGGGGAAGGAAGCTGGGAAGGAGGTAAAGGGAGAGGGGCGGAAGGAGGCGAAGGGAGAAGGGCAGGAGGAGGAGGGTCAGAAGGAGGGGAAGCAGAAAGAGGGTAAGGGAGAGAAGGGCCAGAAAGACGGGAAAGAGGAGGGGGGGCAGAAGGACGGTAAGGGAGAGGTGGGTGAAGAGGCGAAAGCAGCATCGAATGGCGAGGAGAATGGGGAGAAAGAGAAGGAGGAGGAGAAAGGGGAGAAGGGGGAGAAGGAGGAGAAGGGGGAGAAGGAGAAGGGGGAGAAAGGGGAGAAGGAGAAGGGGGAGAAGGGTGAGAAAGAGGAGAAGGAGGAAGGGGGGGAGGAAGAAGAGGAGTTAACAGTCGCAGTGCCTGAGGACCCGAGCATGAAATGGCCTCTGCCCCTCATGCGCGTGCGGAGAGGCGAAGGGGCAGCGGGAGGAGCAGGGGGGCCGGTGAGTGGGGGATCACAAACAGCATCAGGAGGGGGCGGAGGGGCGGGACCCAGTGCTGGTACCCCTGCTTCTGGTGCCGGTGCTGGCGCTGGGGGTGGGGGTGGTGGTGCTTCTACTGCTGCTGCTGCTGCTGCTGCTGGTGCTGGTGGTGCGACTGGTGGTGCTGCTGACGTGCCCAAGCATGACGATTTGCAGCTCGCTTGGATCTTCGGGCGAATGGATTATGAGATGGCAGCGTCAGCGTGGCGGTGTGCTTATAAAGAGGGCCTGGAGAAGGCGAGGGAGGTGATGGAGGGGCTAGACACGGAGTACAACTCGTTAAAGTCACAATGCGATAGAAGGATAGAGCTGGGGATTGCGGAGCGGAAGCTGAAGAAGATGGAGAGGTTGTTTGAGAAGGAGAGGAGGCGGAGGGAGAGGGACCCAGGGTATGTGAAACGGTTTGCGAGTGTGCTTAAAAGGAGGATGGCGGAGCTTGCAGAGGCGGAAGAGGAGGCGTTGAGGGGGATTGCGGATGAGGAGGCAAGGGCAGCGGAGGAAGGGCGGGGGAAGGGCGGAAGGCGAGGTGGGGGAGAGGGGAAGAGGGAGGAGGGGGGTAAGGAGGGTGGTGAGGAGGGGGATAAGGAGGAGGAGGTGGAGAAGAGAGGAGAGGAGGAGGATGCGGACGAGGGGACGGCTTTGCTGGGTGGTGGGGAGAGGAAGAGAGGAGGTGAGAGGAGGGATGCGAAAGTGGGGGAGAAAGAAGGAGAGGCGGATGGGGGGGATGAGGGGGGTGAGGGGGGAGAGGTAGACGCAGGGAGTGAGGTGAGAGGGGGCTCAAAGGAAGGGGAGGAGGAGGGTGAGAAAGGGGCTGATGGAGTGAGAGGGAAGGATGGAACAAGCGAAGAGGTGGGAGGGAAAGAGGAGGAAGGGGTAAGGGAGGGGAAGGAGAAGGAGGGAAAGGAAGAGGAAAAGGACGAGGGAAAGGAGGGCGAGGAAGAGGGGAAGGAGAAGGGGAAGGAAGGACAGGAAGAGGGGAAGGAGGAGGGGAAGAAGGAAGGTGAAGAAGGGGAGAAGGGAGAGAAGAAGCAGGCGAAGCGGAAGATGTGGACGGAGAGGAAGCTGCGGGCGATTAAGATCGAGACAAGTGTCATCCGCAGCGTGCTCAGCGATTACCAGACGGCACTGTTCAGTGAGGTGAGGAAAGGGCTGTGCGAGAGGAACAGACTGACTTTGGGTCTCACGTCACCCCCTCCCCTCCTCCGTATCGTCTCTGGCTAAGGCTTGTTCTGAGAGAAAAAAAAGAAGACGCTGCCTTCAGGTCTTTCCTACTTACTTCTTTCCCCTCACTCCCCCCCACCCCCTCCTCTACCCCCCCCGCTTCCCCCCCTTCCCTCCCCCAGCTCCCTCAGCCTCGCATGCCGTGCGGCGACCTGCTCTCCCTCGCACCCTCCCACCTAGTTTTGAGGCGCCTCAAAACTAGATTCCGCAGCCTCGCATGCCGTGTGGCGATCTGCTCTCCCTCGCGCCCTCCCACCTGGGTGGCACGTCCTCTCACTTCCCTCCTCCTGTCCCCCTTTCCCCCCAAACCCCACCCACCCTCCCTTTATGGCCTCTCTCTTCCCCCGCCTCGCCCCCCCCCCTCGCAGCCTCGCATGCCGTGTGGCGATGTGCTCTCTCTCTCTCGCGCCGTCCCACCTGGGCGGCACACCCTCTCCCCGCCCCCACAACCCCCCAATCATTCTTCCGCTCCCCCTCTTCCTTCCGCGTCCCGCCTCCCCTTCCCTCTCCCCCTACCCTAACCCCCTCAGCCTCGCATGCCATGTGGTGATCTGCTCTCTCTCGCGCCCTCCCAACTGGGTCTCCCCGCCCCCACAACCCCCCAATCATTCTTCCCCTCCCCTTCCCCCCTCCGCCTCCTGTTCCCTCCCCCCCTACCCCCTCAGCCTCGCATGCCGTGTGGCGATCTGCTCTCCCTCACGCCCTCCCACCTGGGCGGCACTGACTCAGATGAGGACGAGCACGACAGCTGGCGCGGGCCGGAGTTCGCCGCCCAGCTGGACCTGCGCATGGAGGGCGCGATTCGGAGCCACAGGAGCAGCATTCTGGCCGAGGTAGGGTTTATCTCTGGAATTTCGACAGGGGTCTAGCATTTGACCCTGGAATACGAGAGGGCTTTAGCATTTTCCCTGGAATGTGGTAGGGTTTAGCATTTTCCCCTGGAATGTGGGAGGGTTTAGCATTTTCCCCTGGAATGTGGGAAGGGTTTGTAATTTTCCCCTGGAATGTGGAAGGGGTTTAGCATTTTCCCCTGAAATGTGGTAGGGGTTTAGTATTTCCCCCTGGAATGTGGGAGGGGTTTAGCATTTTCCCCTGAAATGTGGGAGGGAGAGGATTCTGTACGCTAAACCCTGGCGGTGCAGAAGGTCAAGGCGAAGCTCCACCTTCGTCCTCACTTGCCTCTTCCTGTTCCCCTATCCGATCCGAACCATTTATCATAAACAGAAGGAGCAAGCAGAGGAGAGGACCCTGTGCCATCTGGAGGCAGTTCAGAAGGCCAACGCCAAGCTCCACCAGGCGTCGGTCTTTGACTACCGCGCCGCCATGCTGCCCATCGTCAAGTCCTTCCTGCAGGTGGGGAACTGTTTTGAGGTATGTGTGCATGTTGCTCCCACGTCGGTCTTTGACTACCGTGCTGCCATGCTGCCCATCGTCAAGACCTTCCTGCAGGTGGGCTATACATGGTGCTGACAGCTATGGTGAGTAATTGGTACTCCGATCCTCCGAAGTTTTTTTTTTTTTTTTTTTGGAGGGGGGGGGGGGGGGGCACCTTAAAAGGCTCGTCAGAAGTTTTGCTGCTCTTATGTCAACACAATCTGCACGTGTGAAGGTTTTGGTTCTGACCTGATGTGCTGGTTTGGACTTTCTGTTTTTTGTTATCATTCTTATTTCCAGAACCGCCTCGAGCAAGCAGCGGAGCAGGATGCACAAAAACGTTCCGACGCTGCCCAAGAGGCGTTCCTTGCTGAGCTGGACAAGCAGGGGCAGGTGGAAAAGAACCGGGAGAAAAAGAAGGGCAAAGAGCGTGCCAAGAGTGGGAAGGGTGGTGGTGGGGGAGGAGGCGCAGGGGGAGGAGTAACAGGAGGAGGAGGAGGGGAGAGTACTGGTAGGGTGGCAGGAGCAGAGGGAGGAGGAGAGGGCGAAGGAAGAGAGATAGGGAGCAGTAGTCAGCTAAGGGACAGTGACATGGAAGGAGTGAATGAGGGCGAGGAGGAAGGGGAGGGGGGCAGAGAAGGACAAGTGGAGAAGAGGCAGGCAGTGGGAGAGAGAGACGGAGAAAAAGGAGAGAGAGAGAAGAGAGAGAAGAGGGAGAGGGAGAGGGTAAGAGAGAGGGAGAGGGTGCCACAGAGTGCGGCAGAGAGGGAGGAGGAGGCTCAGAGGCGGAGGGAGCAGCAGGAGATTCTGAGGCAGCAGCAGGAGATGGAGGACGAGGAGAGGAAGCTGGAATGGGCTTTGTCTCTCCTGAGGCAAGCAGAGGAGGCGGCGAAACGGCAGAGAATGGCCGAATTGGAGCGGCTCAGGCTGATGGGTGGTGGTGGGGAGGCTAAGTCAGGGGGAGGTGGGAGTGGTGGGGTGCAAGAGGTGAGGGTAAGGATGGGGGAGGTGGAAGGGGGGATGGTGAGAGGGAGGCAAGGGGAATGGGAGGATGGGAGTTGTGAGGGGTCGAGTTGGGAGAGGGCTAATGGAGGTTCTGGGTTCGGGGTTTTGCAAGAGACGGCGGTGGTGCAAGGGGCGGAAGGGTTTGCTGCAGGTGCCGGTGCTGTGGGTGCGGCTGGTGGTGGTGGTGCTGCTGCTGCTGCTGCAGGGGCCATAGGGGCAACAGGATGGGGGGAACCGGGCCCCAGGGAGCTTTCGAGTGCGGATACACATACGCATACAAACACACAGCTACATACACATTCACATACACATACAAGCACAAACACACATACACCAGCAGGTGCGTCTCATCGTTTTCAGCAGTTGTCACAGAGCCATGAATCGCAGCCAACCCAATGGCCGCAGCAGACCCAGCAGTTACAGCAGGAAGGGGCTCGAGTTGGCGGTTCTTCAATCGACTCTTCTTCTGCAGGAGCGGGTTCAGCTGTTAGCAGTGGTACTAGGCTAAGAGATTCTGATGGAAGGGATGAAGAAGGGTGGGGCGCGGTTGGTGTGGGTCAGACAGGAGGGCGGGGTAAGGGGCTGGGTGGGGGGCGGGGTGGGAGGGAGGTGGCAGGGGGTGTGAGTATGGGGAATGGGAGTGTGGAGAGTGGTGGGTGGCAGAAGGAAGAGGTCGGTGTGAGGGTGGGAGGAGAGCCAAATGAGTCAACCCAGAAGCAGAAGCGGAAGCAGGGAGGCCAGCACGGGGGCCAGCAGCAGCAGGAGGGAAAGCAGCATGGGCGGCAACAGCAGCAGCAGCAAGTGGGGGTGGGCGTTGTGGCCCAAGCAGGGGAGGCAGGAGCTTTGGCAAACGGCATTCCGGCGTCCGGGTTGGTCTCAGGTGATCGGTCAGGTGGCATAGTGCGCACTATAGCGAGTTCGAGCCAACGTTTGGGGCACAAGGGCCGCGGGAGAGACGTTGCTGTGCCTCCATCCCTGCAGCAGCAGAAAGTGGCGAATCAGCAAGGCGAGTTGCAGAGGTTCAGGGCAGGGCAGAGTCACACTCAGGGTGCTGCTGCTGCCCCTCCTCCTGCGAATGCTGGGCTGCTGGGAGCGCCTCTCGCACAGAGAGCTGGTTCAGGTGAAAATTCAGGTGCTGCTGCAGGCAGCGGTGGTGCTGTGTCTGATGGAGGGAGTGCTGCTGGGTCTGGCGAAGGGGGGGGGGTAGGCGGTGGCAAGAATAGGTCGAGGCGAAAGAGGGGCGGCAAGGGCAAGGCAGGCGGAATGGGTGGGCAGATGGAGGGGGGATTCCAGGGGGGAGGTGGTTTGCAGGCGGGAGGGGGTTCACAGGTAGGCGCACGTTTTCAAGCAGGGGAGGGTTCAGAAGGAAGCGCAGGGGCAGCTGAAGGTGGAGGTGCCACTGCTGCTGCTGCTGCACTGGGCGTGGGCAGTGCTTTTGAGGCGCCTCAAAAGTCTGCACTAGGCGCGGGCAGTGGCACAGACAAGGGCGTAGAAGGAAATGTGATGCAAGTGCAGCAGCAATTACAGGGACAGGTGCAGCAGCAGCCGCAGCCACAGCAGCATTCACAGAAGCAGCAGCAGCAGCAGCAGCATCAACAGGTGCCCCAGCAGCAGCAGCAGTCGCAGGGTCCAGTGCAACAACAGCCGCAGCAGCAGCAGCAGCAGCAGCACCCATCCCAGTTGCCACCGCTCCTGCCCTTAGTACCTGCTACCACTGTGGCTGCTGCTGCTGGGGTGGTGGGAGTAGCAGTTGCGGCTGGTGTGGGGGGAACACGGGGGGTACAGGATGGATTGCTGGCAGCGCCAGACGTAGTTAGAAGTGGTGGGCCTGTAAACCCGAATTCCGTAAACCTTAATTCCGTAAACCCTAATCCCGTCAACCCTAGTGTTGGATCCATGAGCGCGAATGCCAGGTCTTCCGCCCCTGCACACTCCAATCTGCCTGGCTTTCCTAGCTCTGCTCTCCCTAATGCGCCCCTGCCTGGATCTCAGGAGGATTTACCAAGGCATGCTCACCAAGGGGTACTTCCCCCCCAAGGGCTGATTCCGCCCCAGAGGGTAATGCCTTTTCAAGGGGTAACTCCCCCTGCCCATCAAGGGGTAATTGCCTCACAGGGGGTGGTTCACCCTCCAGGGTTTAGTGGGTGGGGAGGGAAGGGGTATGCCGGGGGGTGGGGTGATGGGTCACAGGGGGAGGAGAGACAGGGTCGGGCTGGGGCTTGGCCGGGGCAGATGGGCGGAGGTATGGGGCCAGGTATGGGAGGAGGTATGGGTGGTGGAGGGATGGGTGGAAGCATGGGAGGAAGCATGGGAGGAGGCATGGGTGGAGGTATGGGTGGAGGTATGGGAGGAGGTATGGGAGGGGGAATGGGAGGAGGGGAGAGGGTTGAGGAGGTGGATGTAGAGGTTGCAGTAGGACCGAGATCGGCTGCTAGAGAGAGAAGGCGGCAGCTGCAGCAGCAGCAGCAGCAACAGCAACAGCAACAACAACAGCAACAGCAGCAACGGCAGCAGCAACAGCAACGGCAACAGCAGCAACAACAGCAGCAGGTGCAGATGCGGCAGGTCAAAGAATATGCGCCTATGGGGGCAACGCAACAGCAGCAGCAAGGGCAGGGGCAGGCACAGGCACAGGCGCAGGCACAGGGACAGGCGCAGCGGCAGGATGAGAAAGAGGCAAATTCGTTGCAGTCTCAGGCTGACGGTAGCAGGCAGCAGCAGCAGCAGCAGCAGCAGCAGCAGCAGCAGCAGCAGCAGCAGCAGCAGCAGCAGCAGCAGCAGCAGCAGCAGCAGGGCAGCAGGGCAGCAGGGGCAGCAGGGGCAGCAGGGGCAGCAGGGGCAGCAGGGGCAGCAGGGGCAGCAGGGGCAGCAGCAGCAGCAGCAGCAGGGGCAGCAGCAGCAGGGGCAGCAGCAGCAGCAGCAGCAGCAGCAGCAGCAGCAGCAGCAGCAGCAGCAGCAGCAGCAGCAACAGCAGCAGCAGCAGCAGCAGCAGCAGCAGCAGCAGCAGCAGCAGCAGCAGCAGCAGCAGCAGCAGCAGCAGCAGCAGCAGCAGCAGCAGCAGCAGCAGCAGCAGCAGCAGCAGCAGCAGCAGCAGCAGCAGCAGCAGCAGCAGCAGCAGCAGCAGCAGCAGCAGCAGCAGCAGCAGCAGCAGCAGCAGCAGCAGCAGCAGCAGCAGCAGCAGCAGCAGCAGCAGCAGCAGCAGCAGCAGCAGCAGCAGCAGCAGCAGCAGCAGCAGCAGCAGCAGCAGCAGCAGCAGCAGCAGCAGCAGCAGCAGCAGCAGCAGCAGCAGCAGCAGCAGCAGCAGCAGCAGCAGCAGCAGCAGCAGCAGCAGCAGCAGCAGCAGCAGGAGGAGGAGGGGGGGCAGACCATCGCTGCAACCTCCCTGTCCGTTTCAGCTCCCCACAAACCCGGACTTGATGGTGCAAGCCCTAGCACCAGCAGAGTCAGTGACAGGGCCGGCGGCAGCAGCAGCAGCAGCAGTGGCAGCAAGAGCAGCAGCGGCAGCAAGAGCGGCAGCGGCAGCAGCAGCAGTGGTGGTAGGCCGATTGGCCTGTCTGGAATCACCTTTGGTTCGTTCACCAGTGCTGCCACCACTGGAGGCGCGGCAGGTGCTATTTCCGGCCTCCCTCCCCCCTCCCTCTCTCCTCCCTCTGTCACCCCCACTCCTTCCTCCTCCCTCTCCAACTCTGCTTCCACTGCTGCTGCAGCTGGCAATGCCGCTGCTGCAGCCACTGCCACTGCTGCTGCAACTCCCAGTGCCGCTGCAGCTGGCACCGCTGGTAAGCTGCAGCACGGACCAGCAGCACCACAGGTGGGTCTCAGCGGTGCTGCACCGAGCATTGGCAAAACAAGTGGTGTGGGTGGGGGGAGTGCGGGAACTGGTGCTGCTGGTGCTACTAGTGCTGCCGTTGCTGCGGGGGGGATTGGTGGGGGAGTAGGGGATGGGTATGGGGCACTCATGCCCCTACAAACGGTGCCTCTGGTACCAGTGCCCATGCCATACGCCATGCCCGTACCTGTTCCCATACCCATGCACATGGGCGCACACATGGGTACCCCCATGGGTGCTGCCCCCTTCCCGCCTGCCCCCATGCCTCCTCTCGTTGCTCCGGCTGGCCCAGGCTCGGCAGGAGCTTCGGTCGCCGGGCCTGCTGGTTTGGCGAGTCTGGTTCCAGGGCCGGTTGGGTACATGGGGACGCAGGGAGGTGCCGGTGCTGCTGCTGCTGCTGCCACTGGTGGTGGTGCTGGCGACGGTGCTACTCCTTCCCATGCTCAATATCCCCATGCAGCCACTCTCTATGCCCCTCCAGGCTTGCATCCCTCCTTCCAAGGAGCACCAGTTGCAGGGGCAGTAGCATCAACAGCAGGCGCAGCAGCAGGGCAGATGGAACGTGCAGCAGCGGCGGCAGCGGGGGTGGGGGGAGATCCGGCAGTGGTTATGGCGTACCCTGCTGGGACTGCTCCTGGTGGGCTGGGTGCGTTGGGCAGGCAGGCAGGCGCAGCAGTGGCGGGGCAAGGAGGAGAAAGAGGGGAACGAGGGCAAGTAGGGCAAGCAGGGCAAGGTGGGGCGGGAGGAACAGGCACAGCACAGCAGCATTCCCAGCAGCAGCAACAGCAACAGCAGCAGCAGCAGGCGAGGCAGTCGGGAGCGTTTGCATCGCCTAGTAAGCTGTCTTCTCACGCTGCTCCGTTTGTTCCTGGGGGCATGCCCTCTCTCATGTACCCCTCTCCCTTCCTCCGCCCGCTCCCCTCGCCACACATCCGCCCACTGCCGCCGCCACCACAGGGACAGGGGCAGGCACACGCACAGGCGCAGGGACAGGGGCAGGGACACGGGCAGGGGCAGGGGCAGGGGCAGCAGGGGCAGGCGCAGCAACAAGCACAAGCGCAAGTACAAACAACCATGCACCATACCCACCCCTCCCACTTATCCCATCCGACCCATTCCTTACACCACGGCCCATCCCCACCTCCCAACCCCACGCCCCCGCCCACTCACCCTTACTCATCCCAACCCCATCCGTTTGCATCGCAACCCCACCTGCATGCGATCCCATCTGCTCACTCATACCCGCTTGCTCCCTCTCCTCCCCAGCATGCTCCTGTTGTGGGGTCTCCAGGGCTTGCTGTGGGGTATCACACCCACCAGCAGCACCAGCAGCAGCAGCCGGGGTTGCAGCAGCAGAGTCATGGAATGCAGCAGCAGGGTCATCCCATGCAATCCCAACTGGCACAGCCGCATGGGGTGCATCTGCAAATGGCCCAGCCGTCACACGGGGTACAGCCGCAAATGGCCCAGCAGCCGCACGGGGTACAAATGCAAATGGCCCACGGTCAAAGCTTGCAGCCTCCGCAAGGGCTGCAGGCGCCCGCTTTCCATCAACGTGTGGCTCCTGGCGGCCAACTGGAAACGCCCCAGGAGATGGGAACGCCTCAACAGATGGGGGCGACGACCTTACAGGTGGGAACAACCCAACAGGTCGGAATGCTCCAAAATGCGCATCAATCGATGCCCTTGCCCAGGGATGGTGGTGCTGCAAGGGGAGATGCGCTGCTGCAGCAAGGGCAGCAGCAGGATGGGGCAGAGGCAGCGCAGCAAAGCAGTGCGGTTCTGCAGGGTGAGATGGGTGGGCAGCAGGTTGGGATGGGTGGGTGGGTGGAGAGGGCGAGTATGGGTGTTCAGGGCGGTGTGACGGCGTTGGATTCGCATGGAATGGCGGAGGTGGGAGGAAGGGAGGCGGGGGGGAGAGGAGGGGCGGTAGGAAGTGCAGCAGGCAGTGTGACTGGAAGGGGAGCAGCAGGAGGGCCAGCAGGAGGAAGGGGAGCAGCAGGGGGTGCAATGGCATATTATGAGAATTCTCAGAACATACATGAAGGTGTGTCAACAGGAGGGGCGGTGGAGATTGAGGAGGGGGGGGAGGAGTGGGAGGAGGAGGGTGGGAGGGAGCGGGTAGAGGGTAGTGAAAGGTTGATGGGGGAAGGAATGGAGGTTGGAAGAGACGGAGGAGAGATGGGAGGAGAGGTGGGAGGGGAGATGGGAGGGGAGGAGGGAGGAGCGGAGGGAGGAGCGGAGGGAGGAGCGGAGGGAGGAGCGGAGGGAGGAGCGGAGGGAGGAATGGTGGGAACAGAGGTTGAAGGGAGGAGCGCCGCTGTGGATAACGAGGAGGAGGATGAGCAGTTTCAAGCGGACCTGCAACGAGCCATGCAACAGAGCATAGGTGCGTGCAGAAGGGCAGATGTGAGTGTGGCAGAGCCATAACTTCGAGTTCTGCCATTACTTGCTTTGTTGAAAACACCTGACTTTTATCATGAGTTTTTGTCCCCTCCTCGGTTCGTTTCTTTTTTCCGCCCCTCTTTTTTCCCTCATTGCCCCCATCAGAGGATCTGGAGCGTTCGTCTCACTCCCACTACTACCACTCGGCCGCCCGGCCGCCCCCCGAGCACCAATCAGAAGCAGCCCTAAACCCCGCCAGCTCAGGAAGAAGCTCCGACAGCCTGGCAGCAGCGCCTGCCACGTCAGCAGACTGGGATGCCAGCGTGGCGCTGACGCTACGAGAGGAGAGTGGGGAGTCGAGAGAGGGAGGAGGGGGAGGGGAGGGGGGAATGGAGGTGGAAGTGAGGGGGGGCGGAGGGGGAGGAGGGACGGTGGAGATGGTGTGGGGTGGTGCAGCAGGGGAGGAGGGGCTGGTGGGGCTGAGGAATGAGATCGGCGAGTACAACTGCTTCCTCAATGTCATCATTCAGGTGCGGAGGGATTGCTGTTTTGTGAGGAAATGATTCGTATTCTGGTGAGATGAGGAATTACAGTTGCTTCGGTGTCTCAAGGAGGGGAGGAGGGGTTGGTGGGGTTGCGGAATGAGATTGGGGAACACAACTGCTTTCTCAATTTCATCATTCAGGTAGGCAGGGGGTGTTGCTGGGGAAATGAGCGATTGCTATTTTGGTGAGGAACTGCAGTTGTGGCGGTTTTTGAGAATTCTCAAAAATCGCTCACAAGGGGGTGTTGCTGGGGAAATGAGCGATTGCTATTTTGGTGAGGAATTAAAGTTGTGTCGGTAGTGCCCCAAAGCGGAGAGGAGTGGCTGGTGGGGCTGGTGGGGTTGCGGAATGAGATTGGGGAATTCAACTGCTTTCTCAATGTCATCAGTCAGGTGAGGAGGGATTGTTCTGTTGCTTGCGGGAGGAGTGACTGCTGTTTGGGAGAATGCTTGTGACGTCCCAAATCTGGACATCTTCCTTGCTGCTCTCAACTCCACCAGCACTAATAAATACCCCTTAGTTTTCCCCATTGTTTCCCCTTCGTTTCCCCTTCGTTTTCCCCTTCGTTTTCCCCTTCGTTTCCCCTTCATTTCCTCGTTTTTTCCCCTTTGTTTCCCCTTTGTTTCCCATATATTTTTCCCCATGTTCCCTCCCACTGGTTCCCAAACCCCCCAGTCCCTGTGGCACTTGCGCAGGTTCAGGGAGAGGCTGCTGCACCCATCCTGTCAACAACACTCCCATCAGGGCGATCCCTGTGTCGTATGCGCTCTTAGAGACATCTTTCTTGCTCTCAACACCAACAGCACCGCCACCATCACCACTGCCAGCCCTTCTGTCACAACCACTACCACCACTACCACCACGGCCCCCACCACTGCCTCCACCACCGCCACCACCAACACCTACTCCTCGCTCTCGACTGCCATTGTTCCTTTTGCCGCCCCCGGTGCTGCTCCGTCTGCTGCAACAGCTGCACCTGTCTCGTTGCGGCCTGCTTGGAAATCTTCGCCAGCAGCGACGGCAGCAGCAGGAGCAGGCGCAGCAGGATCGAACAGGGAGCAAGTGTCCCAAGCTGCTGTCTCTGCTGCTTCTGCTGCCGATGCTGCCGCGTTCCCTCCTCTCAGCACCTCTGATTTCCCTGTTCTTAGCAGCAGCAGTGGAAGCGGCAGCGGCAGCGCTGCAGCAGTGTCATCCCCTGTAGAAGGTGATTCGTTATCGGATGCTGAGAGTGCGTCAGCCAACAAGAGGAGCAAGAGGACACAGCAGAGCAACACATGGGGGGCGTCGCAGCAGCAGGCTCATAGCAGCAGCAGTGGGATGAAACATACACAGGCACAGGTACAACCCCAAACACAGGCACAGGCACAGGTACAGCCCTCCACCCACAGTAGTTATGCCACTGCTCTGGCAGAGCGTAGTGGTGGGACCAGGAGTGCACCCACCAGCACAGCCACTAGTGCGGTCACCAGTGCGGTTACCAGTAGTGTAACAGAGGCAGTTCCCCCCAGTAATGATGCGATGGCAGCTGGGGTTACACCTGCAGAGCCCACTTCGTCAGCAGCAGCAGCAGCAGCGGCGGCGGCGGCGGCGGCAGCAGCAGGGGTGGCAGTGGTGGCAGCGGCGCCAGCAGCAGGGGGAGGGGCGGGCCCCTCTGTTCGGACTGTAGTGGCGCCCACAGCACTAAGAGTGGCACTTAGTGCCATGTTTGCCGACTCTGAGTTCTTCCAACAGGTATTGTCAAAACTTTGTTGTTGCCTTTTTAGCGATTATGCTCACAGGTTAAGAGAGACACTGCATGCCTTGTTTTTTCACTTGGTTGACTTAAGTAATGCCTGCTCCTGACCTGTTTGTTTTTCTTTTCTTTTCTTTTGCTGCCCCATTTTCCGCCTTCCCCCTCTTTCAGTCTCAGATGAATGATGCTTCAGAGGTTCTCCCAGTCATCTTCGACTGCCTCCACCGAGCCTTCGCCGAACCTGCCTCCGAACCTGCAGGTGGGGCATCTGGTTCGGCATCAGAAGGAGCTTCCAGTGTCAAATCCACAGCTGTCAACTTTTCGACAGATCATTCTTTTATTGACCCGGGCAGCAGTGCAGCCAATCAGAAGCAGGCAGGAAGCTGGGACTGTCCAGCCTCAACAGCAGCTTGGGACCGAGCCTACCTCGCAGCTTCGGCAGACAGCTCAGGCCTGGGTGCTGGGCCTGTGCCTAACCAGACCACAGCTCCAGGGCAGAGACACGATGTAGGCTCGGCAGCAGGCTCGGGGACAGCCTCGGGGAGTGGGGCAGCTGCTGTGTCTGCTTCTCCCCTCTCCTATGGTGCTGTTGTTGCCAGAGGGAAGGGCGGAGCCAACACTACTGCAGCTTCTGCCGCTGCTGCAGCTGGGAATGCTAGGAAACCCGGTGGGGGTTTAGGATCAAGTGGTAGATTAGGGGACAGTGTAGCAACAGGAGTAGGAGCAGGAGGAGCAGGAGGAGCAGGAGGGGAAGCAGGTGCAGGTGTGGGTGCAGCAGCAGAGGCGGCAGGGGAGGCGGCAGCGGCGGCGTGCATAGCGCACGGGCTGTTTGGGCTGGATGTGACTGAGATGATGCAGTGCTCTCGCTGCGGCCTGCAGTCCCGCCAGATGCGCTACTCCTCCTTCTTCCACCACACCAACGCCACTGCTCTCAGATTATCCAAGGTGTGTGAATGGGGGCGTGTGTGTGTGAGACTCGTGGGTGGGCATGCGTATGTGTATGAGGGTATGTGTGTGTGGGGTGCTAGGAGCATGCATAGCTGTCAGGGTTGTTTGGGCTGGATGTGATGGAAATGATGCAGTGCTCTCGCTGCTGCCTGCAGTCGCGCCAGATGTGCTACTCCTCCTTCCACCATGCCAACGCCACTGCCCTCCGGCTCTCCAAGGTGAGTCCTTTTTGAGAAGAGAATTGCCAAGGCAACTCCTGTCACTGTTGGCCGTCAAGTCGCGCCAGATGTGCTACTCCTCCTCCTTCCACCATGCCAACGCCACTGCTCTGAGATTGTCAAAGGTGGGTGGGTGTGTGGGCACGTGTGTATGTCCGGGCTGTTCGGCGCTGTCTCAGCTATCTGAGGCGCCTCAAAAATGTGTTCGGGGCTGCTATCTGGTTGGGGGGCGCATCTGCGATGTGGTCGTGGGGGGGTGCTTCCCCCTTCCTCCCCTGCCCCTCTTTACTCCCCCCTAACCGCTTCCAACCCCTCCATCACCGCTCTCAACCCCTCCATCACCACTCTCAAAACCTTCCCGCAGCTGGGTGACCCACGTGTTGAATGGACAATGTGGACGTGGGGGGGTGTTGCTGTTGCCCCGTCCTCCACCCCTCCCAACTCCTCCTTCACCCCTCTCAATCCCTCCCCACAGCTGGGAAATCCGACCTGTGGCATGGACGAGTTATTAGCGGGCATGGAGCAGCACTACCTACTGCCGTGCGATGTGGACGTGGGGGGTGCTGCTACTCCCTCGTCCGCTACCCCTCTCAACTCCTCCTTCACCCCTCTGAACCCCTCCCCACAGCTGGGCAACCCTAATTGTCGAATGGACGAGCTATTAGCGGGCATGGAGCAGCATCACCTGCTGCCGTGCAACGTGGATGTGGGGGGGTGCTGCCCCCCTCCTCCCCTGCCCTCGTGACTCCCCCCTAACCACTCCCAACCCCTCCATCACCGCTCTCAACCCCTTCCCACAGCTGGGCAACCCTAATTGTCGAATGGACGAGCTATTAGCAGGCATGGAGCAGCACCACCTACTGCCATGCGATGTGGACGTGGGGGGGTGCTGCTACACTCCCTCGTCCCCTCCCCCTCTCAACTCCTCCGCACCCCTCTTAACTCATTCCTCACCCCTCTGAACCCCTCCTTACAGCTGGGCAATCCGACCTGTCGAATGGACGAGCTATTAGCGGGCATGGAGCAGCACCACCTGCTGCCCCATTGTCCCCTCGTCACCGCTCTCAAACCCTGCTTCACCTCACCCAACCCCTCCCCACAGCTGGGCAATCCGAGCTATCGCATGGACGAGCTATTGGCGGGCATGGAGCAGCACCACCTGCTGCCGTGTGACATGGAGGTGGGGGGTTGCTGCTGCCCCGTCCTCCACCCCTCCCAACCCCTCCTTCACCCCTCTGAACCCCTCCCCACAGCTGGGCAACCCTAATTGTCGAATGGACGAGCTATTGGCGGGCATGGAGCAGCATCACCTGCTGCCGTGCGACATGGAGGTGGGGGGATGTGGGCACCCCAACGCCATTCAGCACGTGCTGCGCCGCGCTCCACCCATCTTCACCACTGGTGGGTTCAAAGGGCTTTCATGCACTGGTGAGGGGGTGTGTGGGGGGGTGCACGGGGGGGTGCACGGGGGGGTGCACGGGGGGGTGCACGGGGGGGTGCACGGGGGGGTGCACGGGGGGGTGCACGGGGGGGTGCACGGGGGGGTGCACGGGGGGGTGCACGCGGGGGTGCACGCGGGGGTGCACGGGGGGGTGCATGGGGGGGTGCACGGGCGGGTGCACGGGGGGGTGCATGGGGCGGTGCACGGGGGGGTGCATGGGGGGGTGCACGGGGGGGTGCACGGGGGGGTGCACGGGGGGGTGCATGGGGGGATGCGGACCCCCCAACGCCATTCATCATGTTCTGCGCCGTGCTCCACCCATCTTCACCACTGGTAAGCATGTGGGCATCTGGTAGGAGGAGAGGGAAAGTGCAGGGGAGGTTGGGTGGTGGTGGAAGGAGGAGTGTGTATGCTATCCATCTAGTTCTAAGGCGCCCCAAAACTCGCCCTGACTTTCCCCTCCCTGTCTTCCTACTCTTCCCAATTCCCGTCATTGTTTACCCACTCGCAGTCCTGGGGTGGGCAGAGCGACAGGGAGGAAGCAGAGGACATAGGCCTCACACTGGCAGCGCTGGACATGCACATGGACATGGGCGTGGTGTATCGGGGTCTGCCTTGACTCCCCTCCCTCTCTTCCTTACCTATCTTCTGCCTCGTCCCAATACCCACTGCTTTCTGCCCTTCTTTTTCCCATCTTCCAGTCTTGGGATGGCAGAGCGACAGGGAGGAGGCAGAGGACATAGGCCTGACTCTGGCAGCACTGGACGTGCAGATGGACGTGGGCGTGGTGTACCGGGGGCTGCCGGGCCCTGTCTTGACTCCCTTTCGTGGTTTCCTTCCCTTTTTCGCTGCTTGTTGCCCTGCCCTGCTGACAGTCCTGGGATGGCAGAGCGACAGGGAGGAGGCAGAGGACATAGGCCTCACACTGGCAGCGCTGGACGTGCACATGGATGTGGGCGTGGTGTATCGGGGCCTGCGGGGGCCGCAGAGGGTGCGGGTGGTGTGTGTGGTGTGCTACTACGGGCGGCACTACCACTGCTTCTCGTTCCATGCGGACCTGGGCAAGTGGGTCATGTTCGACGATACCACTGTCAAGGTGAGAAGATAGAGGTGAAGGGCGGTGATGAGAGGTGGAGAGAGGTTGAGTGCGGTGATGATGATGTGGATGTTTCGGCTGAGGTGAGGTGCTTGCTTGCACAGAGGCCTGGCGAGCCCGCAGAGGGTGCGGGTGGTGTGTGTGGTGTGCTACTACGGGCGGCACTACCACTGCTTCTCCTTCCATGCTGACCTGGGCAAGTGGGTCATGTTCGACGACACTACTGTCAAGGTGAGAAGGGGGGGAGGGGGATGAGGTGGATGCAAGGAGTGAGATGAGGTGGAGTGAGATGCTGGATCTGCTTTCAAAAATTCTCAGAAAGCTGTTCTCTTCTCTGTTGTGCGACCTCCCTGCAGGTGGTTGGGGGCTGGGCAGACGTGGTCAGCTCATGCACCAGAGGCCGCCTGCAGCCGCAAGTGCTCTTCTATGAGGCATGCTAGTGACAGGGAGTGAAGGTGGAACGGAACCATACTACGCCATGAGAACCGAAGCAAAGCTTTCACTCTTCAAGTGTGTAAGGTGCCCTCAAGATACAGCCAGCCGCAGCTGCGGGTGCAGTTTTCTCACAAGGCGTGCTCTCATCTCATGAAGCTGTTATTCGGTATGAAGCTTCGCGACTCACTGATGTTGGCGTTCTTTCAAGTGCGTGTGGCTTGGGGGTGATTCAAGCTATGGCTGATGTGCGTGAAGGTTTTCCTATGAAGAAGAGTTGCTTGGGGTATGGCTCATGCTATGAAGTGTTTTGTATCTCTGCTGAAATCTGGAAGGGAGTTTCATATGTTGTGATGCGAGGGGCTTCAAAATATTGCACAAACTAGTAGGCGATAGGCTCACGAGCGGTTCTGATTTTCATTTGGTGCTTGACCGAAACAATGCACCTTTAGGTGTGGCTTTGGTACGGTAGGAGTTGTCTGTGCTCTTCTGGCTTGTGTAATGATTGTTTCTTGGAGGTATTACTTACCGGTAACCTTGATAGCAATTCAATTACTATGGTTCGTGCAACCGGTAACCTGTGCCCCCCTCCAGGATCCTATGGCGACTGCATTGCAGACTCCTTGTAGAGTCTTGTCACAATTCTGTTTCTCTGAAAATCAGAGTCGTTTTTGAAAGGAACTCTGTACCTGCTGGGTTTTGCTTTTAAAAGTTTAGTTTTCTCTGATTTATCAGAGTTTTCTTGTAGGCTACTCTGAGCTCTCTGGGTTTTTATTCTAAGGACCGAGTTTACTCTGTACAGAGGATACATGCCCCCTAGCCACCCCCCCCACCTCCCCCCCCTCCCTCCCCCCACCTCCCGAATATCGGGTTTTCTCCAAGTCGCCGAGAACACCATCCAGATTTAGTTCGAGTGTTGGCGCCAAGGCCTGCTAGTGCTCGGCTGGCTCACAGTTTCTCCACCCATTTCCCCAACCATCAGGTGCCTTGCGTACCCCACCCAACATCACAGCCACGCGTCTCCCCCCCACTCTGTTCCGCACCCTGTTCAATGCAGACAACACTGACGCTGCTGCGCCTGAACCTGATCCCGGCCCGTCATGCAGCTCTCGCCCTATGACGGGTCTGGAGTTTCTGAAAGGCGTAACAAATTACCCATACAGATCATACACCTTAGGAAACTAACATCAGAGTAAAGCAAAATATTACTCTGACGTGCCTGAGTTTTTTTCCCAAAACATAGGGTTACTCTGACAACTCAGAGTGAGGCGTAAGAACAACCCTAGATTTCAGAGTTGGCAAAAAAACAACTCTGGAATTCAGAGTACCTAAAATCTAAAAGTAGGCCCTGACGTGCAATGCTATTGTGGTACTTTCACAGGTCTATGTGTGGACATAACTGTATCAATGTGTGAGGTAGGAAAATCCAGCTAACTACCGTTTTTCCCACTTCAATCATTCTCTAGTTGGAGAAATGATGTCAGTTTACTCATGAAATATTTGTATATACAGTGAAACAGGTGTTGTTATGAGTTGTGAAAGGAAGAGTGCGCAGAACTCAATAATACGGAAGTGATTACTGTCAGAATGAGGAATGGGTGTTGCATTGATGTTGGTTGGGGTACATATGACAAACCCTAACTTCTGTACCCCCTAAGACAAACCTCACTACAGGCTACAACATTTGACACACCCCCATAGCCTAAGTGAGGGGTGTCTAGCAAAAACAAAAAAGAGTACGGTCACAAGACCAGTCCAAAAGAAAACAAAGCTCAGGGTGGATCACAAAGTCACCACTCACTCTGAGCACAAGCAACAGTGGCCACAAGGCCAGTCCAAGAGATCACAAGTATATATAGTAAGTGTACAGACGAAGCAGGCAATAAACTCAAGTCTACGCATGACTAGAACCTGTGTCAACAAGGCCTAACTGCACACAACACCTCTGGTGGTCACAAGGCGGAAGCGCCTTGGTGAAGATGTCTGCAGTGTTGGCCTCGGACTCTACAAACTCGAAGCGAGCCTGTCCACGCCTCTGCAACTCTCGCAGAAGAAAGTACATGACGTGAATGTGCTTCACTCTGCTCTCCAGTCGCGGCTCACGACAGAGGAGGATCGACGCCTTGTTGTCAGTAAACAAGGTCGGTGCAGAGCTCGGCCGCTCACCAAGGTCGGCGAGCAAGAAGGTCAACCACCGTAACTCCTGTGCCGCCATGGCACCAGCGTAAATCTCAGCCTCAGCTATAGAGGTTGAGACAGAAGAGGAGCGTGTGGAACGCCAGGAAACAGCTCCAGAACCCAGACTGAAACAGTACCCCTGAGTAGACCTGTGAGTCTCAGCGTCGTCAGCGTAAGAGGAGTCACAGTGACCAGTGAGTACGACAGACTGCTGCCCTCCAAGAACTAGCCCCACGCCTGATGTAGTCGCTAGGTACTTCGCCACCCTCACAGCTGCCGTCCAGTGAACAGGACGGTGTCTCCCTGGCGCAACAAAGCGCGCAAGGATGCTGAGAGGGAAGGCGAGGTCCGGGCGAGTACAAGTCATCAGGTACATGAGGCAACCCACAAGCTCTGCGTAGGGACCACTAGGCTCAAACGGCTCGTCAGGAAAGGGACCAGTGAGTCTGTGGTCAACAGCTAGAGGTGTGCGCTGTACGGTGGAGTGCTGAAGCCCGAACCGCTGAAGGACCTGCTGCACCATGTGTGACTGTGAGAGTGTAATGGTGCGAGCGGCTCTGTCCCTGGTGATCTGCAGGCCAAGGTAGTGGCGCAGCTCACCAAGATCAGTGCACGTGTGTCTCTTCTGCAGTTCGGACTTCACGTCTGCCAAAGCAACCCTGTCCGAAGTGGCGAAAACGAGGTCGTCGACGTAGACCAAAACAAAGAACGGTGTGGAGCCACGACGAACGAACAGCGACAGGTCGGCAGAAGACGGCTGGAACCCAAGGTCAGAGAGGGTAGAACGCAGAGTGTCGTGCCACTCACGAGGGGCCTGGCGAAGACCGTAAACAGGTCGCCTCAGCCTCCTCTGGGTCCCAGGAGGGAAGGTGCCAGTGAAGGCCGAGGGACGACGCAACCAGACCTCCTCGTGTAGGCTGCCCTGAAGGAAAGCAGTGGAGAAGTCGAGAGAGTGTAACTCGTAGTCTCTCTGTGCTGCTACGTGTAGTAACACCCGAAGAGTGGTCATCTTCGGGGTAGGTGCGAAGGTCTGAAAGAAGTCAACTCCCTCGCGCTGACTGAAACCTCTAGCCACGTAGCGCGCCTTGAAGACCGGGGGAGATCCCGGTGGCCGCTTCACCCTGTAGATCCACATGCCGTCGACTACGTTCGCCCCAGGGGGGGGAACCTCATCGACGTAGGTGCCTGTGGATCTGTAGGAGGCCATCTCTGCGTCCATGGCAGCTCTCCACTGAGAGGCCCAAGGCCCTGACACTGCCTCAGCGTAAGTGCGAGGAGTCGGAATGTCAAGGGCGTCGGGGTCACCCTCAGGGGCGAGGAGCATGGCACAGAGATGAGGGGAAGCGGCCGCCAGGAACTCTAGCTCAAACTGCCTGTCCTCTAGGGCGTCACAGCCAAGGGCAGACACACCCCCGACGGCCAGAGGACTGGTAGGAGGAGCAGCCACAAGCGTGGTGGCGTAGTCAAGGCGGCGGGTAGAGGCAAAGTCAGTAACTGCGGCAGTAAGAGCGGACACAGAGGACACAGAGGCACGAGGGTGAGTAACAAGAGAGGCGAGAACACGAGAGAGCAGGACGGTACGTGCGGTAGTAGTCAGTGACAGGAGTAGGGAGCGACACAGTGAGGGCCGACTCAGGAGGAGACGGAAGCACAGACTGAGACGGACGAGGTGGACTAGAAAGAAGGAAGGCAGTACGAAGGTCAGTGAAGGGAACAGGAGACGAGGGACGAGCACGAGGGGAGCGACAAGTAGCCCAAGAACGAGACGGAGGAGGAGAGGACAAAGGCGGAGAACTGGGGAAAACAGCGGGGGAGGAGTCAGGAGGAGGAAACGTGGGACCGTAGACAGGAGGAGAGGCGGAGGAGGGAGGAGAAGGGGAGGGGAGACCAAGGGTCCGAAGACCCGAGACAGGAGGAGGAAGTGGCTGCTGCTGCTGCGGCTGCGACTGCTGCTGCTGCGGACGCGGCTGCTGCTGGGACTGCTGCTCCTGCGGGTCCAGCTGCTGCTGCTGCTGCTGCTGCTCCTGCGGCTCCAGCTGCTGCTGCTGCTCCTCCAGCCGTTGTAACTCCCTCTCCTCTCTCTCCAACGCCAGCTGCTCGTCACGGGCACGGCGAACACGAGCCTGGTGCCTAGTCGAGTAGGGGTGGGGGGGTGGAGTAGTGTCCGAAGCAGCGGCAGCTCCAGAGTCCACCTCAGAAGAACTAGGCGCACCACCCCCAGAGGCAGCACTAACACCAGCTCCAGAACCAGGCTCACCTGAACCCGAAGGAGGCGCACCCTCACCCCCAGACGCAGCACCCCCAGTGTCCGCGCGGCCAGCACCAGCTCCCGGACGACAAGAGTCCTCTGCACCCACCGGGTCAACTCCAACTCCAGAACCAGAAACTCCAGCTCCAACCCCAGCTCCAACTCCAGTACCCCCAGAACCAGAAACTCCAGTGCCAACTCCAGCTCCAACTCCAGCTCCAACTCCAGCACCCCCAGAACCAGAAACCGGTACAGGAACAGGCGCCGCACCAACCTCTCGAGAGCTAGCACCAGCGGCACGCTGCGAGGAGGACTGTGGGGAGGGAGGCTGTACCGGAGGGGCTACCGAAGGAGGAGGGGTAGCCTGGGACACACCTGACGGGGCTGGACCAGGGGGGGGAGGCTGTACCGGGGGAGCAGGAGGGGGAACGGCAGCCAGGAAGAGGGGGGGAGGAGGAACCGGGAGACCTCGACTGGGGTACCTGACGTAGTACGGAGTGGACTCCTCGAAACGGACGTCACGGGAGTCAAAGAACCGGTGAGAGGGAGGGTGGTAAAAGGTGAAGTCAGAGGAGTCCTCAG